GGAAGAAGCTTCAACTGTATTTACAGCCAGTCCCCATCGCTTGCATCACCGCCTGAGCTCTGCCTCCCGTCGGATCAGTGGCAACATTAGATTCTGCATTATGGTGAGTTGTGTAATTGTTTCATTATATATTACAATGTAATAATAATAGAAATAAAGTGCACAATAAATGTAATGCATTTGAATAATCCCAAAACCTCTACCCCTTTAGTCCATGGAAAAATCATCTTCTATGAAACTGGTCCCTGGTGCCCCCAAGGTCAGAGACCCTTGCTCTAGATAAGCCAATTCTCAGCTAAGACCTGACAGTCTTGTTTTTCAGAGCCTGTTGCCTTAAAACATAGCTCGTAGCCGGAACACCATGTTTTGTGGGTAACTGTTATGTAGTATTACGTTCTGGTTAATTTGGTAGGATCAACGTTATAACACTTGGTTTACGAAAAGGGGGGAAATTACTTTAAAGTACCTTGTGCTTGAGTATTTTGTTTTAAACAAAAAGCTGTGTGTAGAAAGGTGCTAGGCAGTAGTTTTGATGAAGTGGGTTTTTCAGTTTTGATCTCTGTTGACAGGGAATGTGGCCACTTGATTTAGGGGAGTTTTTCCGTATTGATGGCCCAGAGAGTAGTGTTACTGGTTTCATGGATGGTTGTTTAAGTGAAAGACTGGCACTTGGGTGATGGTGCTGGCTCCAGTCGTCCTCATCCGGAAGCCACAGCCTGCTCAGCTGACCACATCACAGGCTCTGAATGCCCTTGTGACAGCACCCCCCCCCGTGCAGCAGATGCGATGTTGCTTTTCTTTCTTGCTTTCTATTAGTTCCTCAGAGTTCCTTCTTTAACCTGTTACGGTTGCTGTCTTCCTGGGTAGGGTCCTTTTTCAACTGCCTGTCTGTGCTCCCTGGCACCTCATTTGTATATAGGTGTAAGGTGCTCACAGACTTATTGAAAGGTGTGTGTTGAGGGGAGGCTGTGCTGCAGCATGATTGGTCAAGGAGCTGCCATTTTTCGGTGGGGGAGTCCCCGGCTATGATTATTTATGGGTCTCCTCTCTTGATGAGCTTCCCCAGAAAGGAATCCTTCAATCTCTTCCTGCCCGTCACATAGAGCTTGGCTGTCGATTCTAACAGCTGAGAGGGAGGGGGCATACGTCTGGGGCCCATCAGTCTGTGTGTAGCATTTTTCTTAATCCTAGTTTTTTAAATTTAGAATTTAAGAGGTTTTAAAAAAACCCGAAACACAAAAAGAAAACAGAAAAAGGCACTCACAAGTTTAGCTCTTGAATCTCCCGTGGTCTTAGAATTCAGCCTTTCCAGAGAATAAACTCAGCCTCCAGAAGACAGAGGGGGAATGCTCCAGGCTTAAGCAATTCTGAGGTCTGTTCCTTAAACAGATTATCAGCCAATCCTGAGGTGCTGGGCATCGCTCTGCCCCTGCCTTCCCTCCAGCAGCCCGGTGTCCCTGAGGCTCTTTGGCCCAGGCTGAGCCCTCATCACCCCCACCCCCATCTCTAGCCTCTGCTCAGCCCAGTGCTCCTTGGCAATCTTTCTCACTTTCAGAAGCTTGGTTTCATGCCTGTGGCTGTGTCCTTTCCCTGTCGGTCTCTCTTTAATCCTTTTATTGCAACTTTAATGGTGTTTTTGAGAGGGAATGGAGGCAAAGTATCATCTGTTCTGTTTAATGCAAAGTTTGCACAAATTCTCTAATGAGTGATCAAGGGGGGAAAAGAATAAAACCTCTATGGCTATAAATTTATCTTGTTTTATAGCATTTGAAATTCAGCTGTTTGTGAAAAGCAATTTAAATAAAAGGATCATGTTAGACAGCAGTTGTTTATATTCACTTCATAATATTTCAACTCCTAGTAAAAGTTAGGGGAGATCAGGGACAAGTAGGATGAATAAAAGACTTGCCGGATGACTAGGTGGTGGAAAGTCACAGTGCCTTGGCTTTTTCTAGAATTGCGTGTTTAATCTAGATTCCACAGCTTTTTAAGTGCCAGATGGTAATTCAGTGCATGGGCTTTAAAACTGCAGAGACCAGGCTTTGAATTCCTTCCTGCTTTGCCATGAGCAAATTGTTTAGTTTATTTGAACCTCAGTTTCCTGACCCAAAAATGGGGGAAATTGTGCTTTTTCCCCAAAGTTATTCAGAATGAAGTCATTAATATATGTAAGGGCTTAGCCTTGTGTGACCACTGAATATGTGTTTTATTTACTTTGGTATATTCTAGGTCTCCTTTCAGATCTGACACTCCTGTGATTCACTGTGCCTGGGAGCCACATTGGCCTGGGCTCTGCTCTCACAGATGTTCCCCTTGTAGCAGGAGGCTCTCTGGCTCATCTTTTAGCTCTGGGACTTACCGAGGCCTGCGTTCGGGGGAGATGACGAGGGAGGGGTGTGGTATTTGAACCTAGGTCTGCCCGACTCACAAGTCCCTGCTCTTAACATCCTGACTCCTCAGTGTTGCGTTATTTCCTATAGTTAAGGGATGCCTCTGAATAGAACAGTTAGGGACAAGGAGGATGCTTTCTGAAGGCCCTGGGTGACATTGGGTTCCATGGTCCAATTATTGTGAATAACCATCATACGTTCATCTGAAATAGCCCATATTCTAAGAAAGTACTCACTATCACAGATTATTTTTGAAGGACTTCATTGGCTAGTAGATTGGATCCTGGAAGTAGATCTCTCTAGATTTGCCTGAAGAGTTAAGGTGAGCAGAAATACGGGCATCTCTTGAGCAGTGGGTATGGCTGCTGGTTGGGCAGCTGCATGTCGTCGGACAATAATAATAATAAAGGGCTTTTGGGTCCATTTTACTTTAGTGGGTAGGGAACCAAAAGTGTAGACTGGTTCTTGTATTTGTCCTGGTTCCATTTCTGTCTGTCCTATTCAGGCCCTTCTTTCTAGTTTCTGTCTCTTCCACAGCAAATATTTTAGCCCTTCCCCCCGTGTTTCCCCCATGTATGTTTATATGTGGATGTGTGTATGTTTGAGATAAAATCTGAATACTGTTGCATAGCCTGCATCCCCCACTTGGATTGAAAATATGTTTTCCCCTTCCCTCTGTAACCATTCTGTTTTAACCTTTTAAAAAATTCCCTTCCTGGCTGGGTTAAATAAATTATGAAGACAGCCATGTGATTAAATACTACATTAGTCATTCAAAAACCATGGTTTCTAAAGTTAGAAATAACATCCTTATTTGTTAAGTATATAAGCTTTGCTGATAACAGTCTATTTTAAGATGTAGTACATTCATTATAGCTGGCTGGGAATTAGATTATTTTTACAGTAGTGTAGATGCTTTTGCAGTGAACCTTTAGGTGGCAGCATCTCTCACCACAAACCATATTTTGAACAGGATTTCTCAGATGTGTGAGGTGTTTGAGGCGGAACGGTGCTCCTCCTGCATCACCTCTTGATGGTGCCATGACGATGACGGCGCTGAGGCCCTGGGACGGCCAGGGCTTGGGGCTGAGCAGAGGGGAGGGTTGTAGACCCCTGCCTGGCACTCTTTCCCTGCCCCTTCTCTTACTCATGCAAAGTGTTTCCTCTGTGGCCTTGTTAAAAGCCACTTTACATATAAGGCAATCAAGGAAAACAGGAGTCAAGTGAGTGATTCTGGATCAGAATGTAACGTGATGCTTGAAAGGAGCAGACAGAATATGCACTTTTTAAAAAGTGGCTTTATGTAGGTATAATTTCAATACCACCCAATTCACCCATTTAAAGGGTACAGTAGAGTATTTTTTAATATAGTCACAGTTATACAACCATCACTACAATTTAATTTTAGAACATTTTATCACCCCAAAAAGAAGTCCTATGTCTCTTAGCTGTCACCCCACAAGCCTGCATAGCACCCAGCCGCTGGCAACCATTCATACTTTCTGTTGCTATAGATCTGCCTCTTCTGGACATTACATACGAATGGAGTCGTATAGTTGTGGTCTCTTGTGAGTGGCCTCTTTCACTCAGCATAGTGTTGTCACATTTCAGCTATGCTGTAGCATGAATTGGCGCGTCATCCTTTTTATTGCCCATTAATATTCCATTGTGTGGACAAACCACATTTTGTTGCCATCACTTGATGGACCTTTGGCTATTATGAATGATGCTACTATGTACATTTGTGTACAAGTTGAGTTATTGTGTGAACATACAGTCACATAGGAGTCGAATTGCTGGGCCGTATGGTAACTCTGTGTTTATCCTGTTGAGCAGTGGCCAAAGTGTTTTCCAAAGCGGCAGCACCATTGCACATTTCCTGCAGCAATGTGTGAGGGTTCTACTCAGTCTTAGTAAGAACTCTGGATTTTCTGATATGTTGGGGTTGCGGGGGGGCCTTGAAGAGGAGGTAGGAGATAAGATGCTCAGTCTCTCTTGCATCTTTGAATTGCGTGCTGGACTGGCTGCTGCGCCTTTTTGAAGGCAGCTGTGTCAGCTGCCAAGAAAGAAGTCGTCTCTACCCCGCACAATTACCATGCGTCACCAGCCGGATAAGATGCCTGCGTTCCATAGCTGCTCGGAGCATGTTGATATTACAGGCTGGCTGTTTGTAATCCATGCCTCCTGACTTGGGAGAGACCATGCAACCAAATCATCTTTGTCCCAGCGAGAGGAAAATTATGTAAAAAACCCTTCACCCCGAGCCACCCAGGTTTGAACATGTCAGAATCACCTACTTGACATACAGCACAGACAGCTGTAGAGACTTCACAGCGAAAGAGCAGCTTTTGTTTTTGTCAGAGTTTACATTCTCAAATCTGAGCTTTGGCAACCCAGGCTGGACATTCCCGTGCCTGTACTGAAATGACTGTGTGTGTGTGTGTGTGTGTGTGTGCGCGCGTGCATGCGTGTGTGTGTTTTCAAGGGAGGGAAAGGGGCTGGCTCTTCCTTTAGGCATATTTGGGTCCTGGTAAGGACACACACTGTACATTCTGACGCTTTGTTTGCATCTGGAAAAAATTAGCCACACTCAGATCTTTCCCACTGCAGGTCCCGTCAGGAAGCCCAAGTATGTGGAAAGCCCCAGAGTGCCTGGAGACGCAGTTATAATTCCGTTCAGAGACGTGTCCAAGCCAGCAGAGCCCAGTGAGAATGGTAAGAATATGTTTTCAGTGAGTAGCCTCCCTCTGAGTTTTGTATTTAATAGAATGACGCTCTCCATTTCTGAATGAAACTTGAGTGCCCCTTGCAGTAATACTTTGCTGAACTGACTGTATATGGGGAGTTTTTCCCCCCCTCGGGCAGTTACAGAGATCTGTTTAGCTAATGTCAATTCTTGGACTTATGTACACAAGGTAGGAATATTTGAGTGGGTGCATATGCGTTGTTTAAGGGTTGAATCTTATTTCCTCTGAATTTTGACCTAGCAGGGCTTAAGGGGGTACGAAAAGTCAGCCAGTAGTCTGCTTCCAAGATTTCATTTTGTTTTTAATACTCTACCGCTTTAGAATACTCAACAACAGGCTTTGGGTGAAAAGCTGAAACTTTAACTGGACAAAGCTTATAACAACTAGCTTTTTTAAAAGCATTTGGTAACTTTTTTTTTTTTTTAAACATCTAAAGTGTTTTAAGGATGTCAAAGTAGAGGCAAAAAAAATCCAAACTGAAACCTTTTCATGAAAACATTTTATGTATTTTATATCTGGAAATGTATAACAGACATTACAAATTTGTAGCATTTAATGAATGTATCAATAGTTATTTTAAAAAATCAATTCAAGCATTTACTTGTTTGTTCCTTTCTGAGTTGTCCCTGACTCACAACTTTGTGGCCTTTAATTTGAGTGTTTTGAATTTGCATCCTATTTTCCTGTAGAAACATGGGATTAGGAATCTTGTCCTATGTAAAGGAGCTTATTTTACCACAGTGTGGATACAAGTTTAGTAATGCTCAAAGATAACTTAGGGGGAAAAAAAAAGTCATCCATATTATTACTTTGGAGTACCTGGCACCCTCTTCTGCCTAATTGTTGGTGGTGGGGGATATAGCCCGTATATTCCAACCACTGTGTGTGCGTTTTGTTTCTGGTGATGTATGGCAGTGGGTAATAATTAGGACATAGGACATAGGAAGAAAATGGAGTGGAGTGGTAGTAAAAATACAGCTAAAAATGAGCTGAGAGGAGGGATTGGCAGAAGCTGAAAATCAGGAAGAGGAGAGTTTGGGATGGGGGCAGGGAGATGGGGCCAGGCGCTGGCCACTCTGGGCAGGCAGGAGACGTGAGAAATCCCACCCGTTTCCTCTCTGTCCAGGCCCCTAGTTGTGTGTAGCTAAGAGGCTCACACCGAGGATATGTGCTGAGGTAGGGCACCAGGTATGCCTGATGAAGGCAGAGACTCCATGGTGGTGTCTGGTGGGTACCACCGTCTGCTGGGAGATGAGGCCCTTCTCGGTTGTGAATCAATATGTGCAGGAGGTCCGTTTGCTTTCATTTCTCTTCTGTGTGTTAAAAAGAAAGTAAAAATCTATTTCTCTATGGTCAGTATCAGTCATCAGACTTACTGAGCTGTCTGCCCATTTCAGATTAAGCCTCCCCTTACCCTCATTTTCACCCGCCAACATCTTTGTAGTCCTGGTCAATTATACCCCTGGCATTTTGGCTGGCCTGGCCTCCATTATGCAACCTCTTCCTTCCTGGCTGGGAGCATCGTTGAGATTCTGTATAGGGTCTAAGACTCCTGGTATGGCAGTGGAGGAGAAATTTCGGAGTTTTACTGGGCAAAGAAAGGAAGTTAAAAATAGTTCCCATTGTCAACTTTTCCCCCCTTGCCCAAGGCAGAATTGGCCACCTTTCTTGGCAAAAGGAAGCGCTCTTATGCTTGGCCGTGAGCCAAGATAAAGTCAAGTGCAGCGATTGGTATTGCTGGAGCAGCCTGAAGTTTCCGTGTGCTCACTCCTCAGACCCAAGCTCTCTGATTCAGCGTCCTCAGTCTCCACGAGGACCAGATGTATGACATTTGTGGGCTGCAGATACAGAACCAGAGCCATTTCACCTAAAATTGAGAAACAGGGCACACTTTTACTTTTTCTAGGTGTCTGGGTGTAGTTCATGTTTGTGGGCACATCATCATGCCTGAAGGTAGCCGTGATATGCTGGTGGAAGCCCCAGCAGAGTTACCTTTCTCTTGGTTGATGAGGTGGTTGCCTAACAGAGTTGAACTTGGCAATTAGTAAGGGGTGTTTTGTAATCCCCATGGAATCCTTTAAATTTCAATGGGGATAATGAAGTCTGCCGTATTTTAAAGTATAATTTTTATGTCCAGGTCATTGAACCTAAAGGAAAAGAGTAGAGCTAACTGAAACTAATTGAGTTTGAGTATTAACACAGGCATGTACAGAGGCAAGATGGGCAAACCCTCACTTATAACGTTCAAAATCAGCATCATCCCTTCAGTTTTACTTTAAAACTTGGTCTTTTGCTTTCCATATTTCCTTCGGGCCTTCTTATTTGTCTCTAAGACGTTTTTCTGGGTGCTGTCAATAATACCATGGCAATATTCTCCAGACTAACAGGTTCTATTGAAAAGAGCTCCTTGTGAAATGCCTTTGAAATTTCACGTAGACTCGTGAAATACCGAGTTATTCCTCAGTGTCTGAAATATTCTTCCCAGACTGATCTGCCTCACTTTTGCTTTAGTGGTCATGCAGATCCATCAGTTTGTTTTGTTTGAGACAGGGTCTTGCTCTGTCACCCTCGCTAGAGTGCAGTGGCATCGTCATAGCTCACTGCAGCCTCAAACTCCCAGATGCAAGTGATCCTCCTGCCTCAGCCTCCTGAGTAGCTGGGACTACAGGCGTGCCACCACACCTGGCTAATTTTTTTTTTTTAATTTTTTGTAGAAACAGGTCTCACTGTTTCCTGAGGCTGGTCTCAAATTCCTGGCCTCAAGCAATCCTCCCTCCTCGGCCTCCCAAAGTGTTAGGATTACAGGTTTGAGCCACCATGCCCAGCCACTCTGTCAATTCTTGATTCTTAACTCTCTGTTTGAACTTTAAATCAAAGTAAAACAAAGAGAATTTTGAATTTTTATATTAATTTATAGGTAATTGTATTTATGTGTAATTCGCCTATTTCAGCCATCTGGGAAGAAGGAGGGTTGATGATACAGGCAGATGAACGTTTTTTGTAAGCAAAGAACCTGTTAAAGTTTGCATTCACCTGGAAACACCTTTAGGAAAAGACATTCTATCCTCTTTAGTATTTTAAAATATTTTCGAAACATAGCATTTTCTACTCTGGCAAAAAAAGAATGACTTAATGAAGTCCTCAAACAAAATACAATCCCCCTTTTTCCTGTCAAATGGTCGTATTAAGCTGTGTGTAATACAGAATCGGCTCTTTCTAAATAAGCTTCTGCCCCTGTCTCCTCTCCTCCCCTTTCCCTTTGCTAAATAAATAAGATAGATAGATAGATAGATAGATGAGAGATAGATAAAATAAGCATCCTATTGCTAAATCAGCATATTGTTTAGGGGGAAATGTCATTTACCCACAAAATAATATCTCTGCCTTAAGGGGAAAAAAATTTCAGATAAATTAGAGAGGATTATTAAATTATAATAGGATTCACAACTTTATTTCTTTGAATTAGAGACAACCATAATCCACTTAGGTTTGCTTTAATATATCATTAGCTACTTGAGCAAGCTTTGGGGAGGGGTGAGAAAGTTTTTAGTTTCATGAGTCATTGCTTGGTGAAGATCAGTCTCAAAATATGATGACACTTTTTTTCTGGCAGTCTGGTTAGCAAGGAAAACTAACACACATGAAACAACAGAATAATTAAATGCAAACTATCTTATTGGGAGGAGGGGCTCTTTATTAGATATTTTTAAGCACCTGGACACCTTATGTTTTTGATTACTAGTTCAGTCATTCAAACAGATGTAGAGGATTAAAGAAGTATGCAGAATAATGGCACCTGTCTACTATTACCTAGTTAAAGAAATAAAACATCACTCTGCATTTCTTCCAGTCACTGACATTCCCCTTTCTTTCCTAAGAGGTAGCCTTGATCTTGCTTTAATTTTCAGCTTCTTAGAATGGTGATGCACCGTTCTACCTATAGTTGAATGAGGTTAGATGGAAGTACAGAGGGGGGCATACGTGGTATGTGTGCATAGAAGAGAGACTCTTAGAGGTAGAGTATGCATTCATTCTGTGTTTCCTTGAATAAGTATTACTTAAATTCCTAACTGTGAAAAGCACTATCATGGATGTTATTTGAGATGGGCTGTCTTCAAGGAGCCTTAGAGTCTGACAGAGGATCAAAGACCTGTATACAGAGTGACTGTAATTTAAGGGAGGCAGTAATGTTGACTAATCCAAGCTGTATAATGCATCGGAAGTTCAGGAGATGGAGATTGTGAGCATGGGAAAGGCTTAATTGGAGCTATGCTTTAAGATTTACCAGGTATCTTAATCAGTTCAGGCTGCAATAACAAAAATACGATAAATTAGATGGCTTATAAACAACAGAAATTTATTTCTTACCGTTCTGGAGGCTGGGAAGTCCAAGATCAAAGCACCCGAAGATTTGGGGTTTGGTGAAGGTCTGTTTTCCTGGTTCGCACACAGCTGTCTTTTCACTGTAGTCTCATATGGTAGAAGGACAGACAAGCTCCTTCTTTCATAAGGGCACTAATCCCATTCGTGAGGGTTGCACCCTCATGACCTAATCACCCACAAAGGCCCCACCTTCTAATACCATCACCTTGGGGTGAGGGTAAGATTTCAACATAGAAATTTGGGGCTGGGGGACACAAACGTTTGGACCATAGCACCTGACAACAGAGTAGGATGGAGTGGGGCAGGAAAGAGGCTAAGATCAGGGAAAATGATTAGAAAATGATTTAAGCAATTAAGTGAGAATAAAGTCTCAAATGAGATCAGGGTCAGGAAAGAAGAGGTGATGAAAGATTCTGGAGGAATTTCAAGGACCTGGGAGCCAAAAGAGACAATCATGACAACCTCAAGTCTTTGAGACTACATCAAGAAGCCACTGGAGGACAGGGGACTGTCTGTTTTGGTTTCAGTTTCAGGCATGTTGACTTCAAAGTGCTGGTGGAACATCTAGGCAGAAGTATCCAACCA